GGCGACAGATATGACGCCACACTATCACCTTTGCTATTGCCTGTCCTATTGCCATCTAGCGCTACTTTCTGGGCCTGACAAGTGCGATTACGGGCGCCTCATTTCCTCTGAGGAGATCCCTGCAAATTTAGCAACTGAACCCACAGACGTTATCTCCATTATTTCAAATTCATGTACGTGCCAACTGGTATTTCTGCGACTCCAATAGTCTCATCGCAAGATTCCAAGTTGAGTCACACGTCACTTAACCCCCCCCCCCTAGTGTAATTTCTCAGAGAGGGGGTATATTCGCATTGAAGCGAATCGCTTGTGAAGTCTGGCAATTCTATCCTTCATGCAACTATTCTTTAGCATACGCGAGACGTGTCTCTCTGCAATAAAGAAACCACTCAATTTACTTTGCTGCAGAAGGTGGATCAAATTACTAAATTATTTGAAGTATATTTAAAAGGTACGTTTCTAACAATTATTGTTCGAGTTGGCGTTGAGACAACCAGACTGATAAATTATTTGCATTTTAGAATGTAAGGGTTTGTATTGAAGTCTACGAGGTGAAGTCCACAAAATTATATCTTATGATACGCTTCGTGACCAATACGAGTTCTGCTGAGTGTTAGTATATATTTTACATAACATTTAGAAGACACCCAAAATGTACTCTCATTTGTACGATTCCAAACCTCTGTGCGTGTTTTATTTTCTAAGTTTTCTTTGCATTTGCTTTGTCTTTATGCACATTTTCTACTCTTGTGGATTCTTATTAGAGAATAATCTTGACATGAACATTTTCTTTAAAAATGGGAAAGTTGGTTTTCTCTTAAGAAAGTATCATAGTTCCTTTCCTTTGTGTTCCGAGTTAGTTTTCTCTAAGATAAAAGTAGTTAAACAGTACGCGTTGAGGAAAATTCGATAAAATGGAATTCTTTTTTTCGTGTTTGGGAGCATGCCTCTCGCATGAGGTGTTAATATTTTCGTATTTCTACGACAAGGAGCATGCAGCACGGATTCAGTTTGAAAATGTAAAAAAAATGTATTTACATTTTCTGTGTGATGTAATTCTTCCTCTAGAGTCCAGTCTTTCCATTTTCACATTAAGTATAATAAGAATATATTTGAACTCCTTGTATAATTAATTTCGAAAATAGTTCTGTTACGTACGTCAGTATTTGGAATAAGCATGTATTACAGGGGGCGATGACGATAGAAACGGAGTTCAGAATTTTGAAATGAGTACGCCAAATAGACTTTTGTCCGAGTTCATTACGATCAATGGAAACTTACCTGGGTATGGAATCATCATGGGATCATTCTCAATATGCTCCGTGTACTCCGTAAAGTGCTACTTGACCGTACACTTCCCACACATTGCAACTTTCCTAAAACTGAACAGGAAACCGAAGTACGTACATGAGCGGTAAAACAGTAATTTTCCTCTCCGAGGTGTAGTAACTTCAGCTCGGGAAACGTGTTTATGTATCTGTCTACACACATGCACACTTTGTGGGATAGTATGCTCTCATGCGATGAGAATGTGTTCTCAAACAACACATTGTGAAAATGGTTATTCTAAGAGATTGAAGCAGCATGTTTATTTGGAGCTTTAATGTTCGCGTCCTTTAACGTCAGAGACACGCTATCTTGGTGGGTGCGAGAATGGAAATAGGAAGGAAAAGAAATCGCTTTCCTCTCAAGAATTCTTGAGCGTCGTTGTAGGTCTCTCTTATCGTTCTTGAACATCGCTTCAGAGAAGCCGAAGGGCATACAAGATGGCAGCGTGGTATCGTGTGTAAGATTCGCCACCTCTGAATTATTCTCTGATTGTCATTTGCGTAGACAATTGAATTGTGAGTGACCTTGAAGATGGGCTACATAGGTATTTCTTAACTGCAATTTCAATCGATGAAAAACTTTAAATGTTGAATGCTTAATTACGAAAAGCTATAGGTTGTACTGGAAATTCGTTTCTGAATGGCTCGGCTTGAAAGTTGTTAATGTCGTTTTATAACCTTAGTTTTTAAAATATGCATTCAGACTGTACATTTTTTACACCACAAAAGTATTTTCTGTTGGTTGAAATGAACATTTGAAGAAACATTTCAGAATTTCTTATTTTAAATAAAGATGGAAAACTTTCGTAGTTAAAAAGTGTCTGTGCTTGCGACTTCAAAGAGCGTTGTAGGAACAAGTCTTCTATCTTACAGATTTATACTACTTAAAATGAATATCATCCTTGTCTGTTGTGCTGACACAGAATAATTAAGTTATAAGTAGCCACAGACGAAAGAAATTGGGCAAACTATACTCATTTTGGTTTTTTTAAAAGTAAAATAGGCCCAAATAGGCATTAATGTTGAAATAGGTTCTTTTAGACGCTATGAAATGGACGGGGTTCATTTGAAATAATCCTAAAATGTATATACAAAACTTGATTTAGTAGAAGGTTTTTACCTAAATATCCGCGGTCTAGTTATAATAAACTGTTGCATGTGTGTAAAACGGTTCATAAAGCGCCAGCGGGCAAGGGAAAGGCTCATAATGCGTGTGCTTACTTCGCTTCGTGATGTGACATCATACCACTAAGTTGATATATTTTCATGTAGTTTAACTTGCATTCTTCTCGTAAATAATCTTTATAAGTCGATGATATAATGTTCATGAGGGTTGAACGACGCACCACAAATTTCTGAGTAAACCGTCAACCTGCAGTGAATGGCTGTGTCCAATGAGGAGCTCAGCTAGTCAAGGCAGCATTGATTTAGAACCTCAAATTAAAATAGGTTGCTGCAGATGGGCGTTTCTCCTCCATTTCCTATGGTAACTCTCTTAGGCGACCATGCCCTGAAAGCGGCTCGCTGAACGGCGGCATCCTTGGCCGAAGCTCACACCCGCGTGAAAAACGAATCGTCTAATTGGGTCATCGGGATGCCCCTCGTCGTCGCCTCGTGACGTCACGGGCGACGCGCATTCCGCCACGCCCTCGTTCGTGTCTCCTCGCATGCGCCGTGCACGCACGACATCCCTCGTAACTCTTCAGATCAAATCTTGCAGGGGTGCAGTAGTCGCAGAACTCAAAAACCACGAATTCAGAGTTATGGCAAGTAATATGTATAAAGAGGGGATATGCGAACGCCGTAAATTTTTCTCGCCCGTTTTAAAGTACAGAATTTTGTTTGAGTGAAAGCAATATAACACTTTAGGCACTATTAATTGTTTTTAAAGGTTTCACAAGTGTCAATATTATAATAGGGACGTGATGAACAGTTAGTCGCCAAGGCTGGTTTGCTTGCCCGATTACTAACCCAGCTGAAATCGTGTATTCCTCCACTGTTTTCCCCACATATTCCATCAAAATAAATCAAATGACCTTTGTTATTCATAGGGTCAGGGCCGAATGGGCCATCTCACTGTCCTTGCTTTCGTAGGTTAGGTAAAAAATAATTTTGTAGTTTTTACTAATCATTTAAAACTACTTTTTCTCGTCCATTTTCGCCGTGGAAGTTTTATGGTCTAGCGCATGTGTTGGGGACTGAGGCACCGGTATAACGTACTATTCCCTTGTACCAGATCCCATGCGTGAGGCGTTAGTGGCTATTTATTTTACAGTTTTGCATTTTTTGCTATAAAACTGCATGTAAATCCCCATCACTCATACCAAACTTATTCGTCTTTGAAACTGCACTAATGGAACATAATGTGTGTGTGTGTCCAAAGCTAGTTAAAAAAGTCCTGTCTGAATTATAACCTGTCTGAATTATACCGGACAGTCGGTCACGTTCATCCACACTTCCATTCGTACACCGATTCTTACTTGGTAAAAACAAAACACATGATAAAATCTTCACGTGTTTTTTGTTGAGTCAAATACTTTTCCTTGTGCTACATATAGCTAAGGGAAAGTGCAAATGGGAGTACATCCGTCACCTTTCATACATTCAAACACTGTAATACTTGGTGTTTGCATTCTTTCCCATTTTCCTAGCAAGAGTAAGTGTGGACCGCGAGCGCCATATGGCGAAGGGGCAGGAGCAAACGCCTGCCGCCGCGTCAGCGTGCACGCCCCAGACGGCGCGGCGCGGCGCGGCGCGGGGCCGTGCCGGGCCAGGCCGTCCTTTGCTCCCCTTCCCTTCACCAGGCGGTAGCGGCGATTGCCCAGTTATCCCCACCGCCGCTTCCCGCGTCCGCGACTTGCGTCGCGTGCTTCGCCATCGCCATCGCCATCGCCATCGCCGTCGGCGGCGCGACGCGACGCGCGTGGCCTCGCAATTTCGTTGGACGCCGCCGCCGCAGCCGCCGGACGGCGAGCGCTGACCCAATTCGTGATTATGTTAAGCGGACCCGACGGTGAGTCATCGCCGGCAGTCTTCCTGGCGGTCTCCTGCGTTGCAGGGTGCTAAAGGCCTCAGATGACGCTGAAGGCGTGGAGGACGCACAGGCGCCTCTGTGGTCGCACTTGTTTTCAAAGAAATGATCGACGAATTTTGAGAAGGAAAGACGAAGGGAAAATATGTGTTTTGAGAATGAGAGATTGCCTTAGCAACTGCTATATAGAGAGATTACTGTACGAAGGGGCTGTTTTGACAGCTACAGCTTAGCCATTACTGGCAACATAACTGCAAACGCTCATTTTGTCACATTCGATTCTAATTAGCTCATTTGTAAATGTGCCATCATTATATTTTGTAATATCATCATGACATACATTGTTTGCCGACTTGTCAAATTGGTCCTTTCTCAATGTCATAGCTTCAGTAGGTGTCACCCGTGTCAAAACTATTTTTATCACCCCCCTCCCTCATAAGTTAAATTTAAAAATATCTAGTACTATAAAATTTATTCATTATTGAATAAAAATGTAAGTCCGTTTGCGCATGAAATTTATTTAAACTTGCGGAACCCGGCAGACTTTGTCCTGCCCTCCATCTCTTTCTCCTTCCCTCCCCCTTTCTCTCACTTCAATGTCCCTGTCCCTCTGTCTCCGTATCCCTCCCCGTCTTTCTCTGTCTCTGTATTTCTTTTAGTTTCTCTCTATCTCTCTATCTACCTCTCAATCTCTCTATCTCTTTATCTCTCTCTTTATCTATCTCTATCTATCAATCTATCTCTCTATCTCTTTATCTATCTCTCTATCTCTTTATCTATCTATCTATCTCATAATCGCAGGGACAGACACTAATACTTGAGAATGCTGCGGGTTGCGCAGAGAGCCTGAACAGGGGCGCTTGGGTCAGCATAAAATCATCTTTAGCGAACGTCTACGTACTGAGGCATGTGTACATTCCCATCCTACTATGTCGCTATTCTTCCCACGCGTGCAAGCAATAAGTTGAGGTTTTATCGAAATCGGATGTACGGTATGCATTAAGTAGGAACAACCAACAAACAATGTCTTTTATATATAAGATATATTAAAAATGTAAGTATTTCAGAATAATTGAATTGTTTTTGTAAATAAATAATTTAAAAGTGTAATTAACACGTGCATATTTTTAGAAATATATAATTTTTAAACAATTTATTAAAATTATATAATTCCAACCATAAAATGTTGTAATTGATGTCACCCTGGACGGACCCCCCCCCGTCCTGACCCTCCCTCACTTCCCCCGCTGTCCCTTCTTAGCGTAACTCCTCTCTACTGCCAAACTCATTTTTGGGTGGTAAATGCACACTATTTGCTGACCAATTCGGGAAATTGATAGCGTGTATTATTTTCCTTTGGTAGTACTTCAATTGATTTTAAACTAGTTCTGTTCAATCCTTTCCCAATGACTTGTAGACCATTTCATCAATTCTCTACTTCTCACTATTCCTAAGTTGTTATCTGTTCAAAGACACGGCCCAATCTTCACGATGTGTAGTTACAACATACGATTGCCAACGATATTGTAACAACCAACACGCGCTGCGTAGGGAAACGCGCGCGGTTAGCGGCCCGGTTCTAGCTCAGTCGGTCTACTCCCTTACTCCATTTATGATTCAGTGATGGGAAGGCATGTAAGCTAAAGCATGCATGGCATTCAAAAAAAACAATATGGTTACTGGTAAAAGACAACGTTATCCTGGACAGGCTGTACCAGGAAGTTACATCGATGAAAGAAAATGGGAAAAAATAAAATAAAGATTAGAAATTAAGAAGAACTTACCAACTAAAAGAAATTGTACAAAAAATTATTCTATAGCTACCAATTACAAATGTCCCTGAGAATCTTTCTGTGCCTCAGCGTGCCACGCTTAACAATAGTCTCTAAGCTTATTGACCCTGACTTACATTGCCCTGAAAACCCTCCGTGACAAATGTGCCTCAGTTACCCTGCGAGCCGCAGGCAGCTGGTGGCGGCCGGGATGTCCTTTCCATACCGCCGGGCACCCCAGACAAGGCGTGGGCGCGCTAGCGGCGATGCGCGTCCGTGACGTCGCGAAGCCGTCTGGAGCTGCTTCGCCGAGTCGTAAAATGTCGGGTGTAATGACCCCCATACAAGTCGAGCACCCAGAGATTGTTCTCTCGAAAGCGTCTGCGGTTGCTCTCGAACAAATTTCAGCGAATGCGAATTTTGTAGCTAATAAAAGCAGTGGCAAAATATTCGCCTATCCCCCCGTAAGTGCCTTTGCACTTCCTCTCTAATAACTTCAAGTGAATGCCAGTCCTAGAGGCACCCACCTCTCGCTCCGCGACCGGCTCCCACCCAGAGAAGTCTCTCTCTCCTCATGTAACTTTGTTTCTCCTACACGCACGACGTTAACTCTTCTCCCCACCCTCTCTCCTCAGTTGTTCATGCTCCCTAAAAAGATCGCTTCGCTATTGGCTAAAGGTGATGCGTTGTACACTAAATTTGGCCAATAGGGCTCCTGCGGTATAGAATTTTTCCGTTCTCTGTTTCGAAAGTAGGTCATGTCTGAGGGTGCTTCCCAGCTACTGAATCATTGCTTCGGGATTCCCGATTACGATGACAGGCGTTTCGGAAGTATTCCAGCTGTGGGCTCTCGCTGGGCGCTTTACAGTTTGACCCCCTTGTTCGGTTGTTGGTGGGGTGCCATAAACCTTCGAAATGGGTCAGGGGACCGTGGCCGTTGCAAGAGAAAGGCTGCGCGCGTGACCCGTATGTTTTTTCTTCAGTACAAAAATCCTTAGGTCTGCTTTACTCCAATAGATTTATTGAAATAATTCTGTACCGCTTACAATATGTCGATGCTTCCGTTTGCATGGCAATGCTATCTTGTTGCAATTCCGTCCTTTAGGGACTCTATTTTAACTTCCGGTCTCAGCAGGGAACAAATGGGGACAGATACTTTATTTGGCTATATAAATGTCGTATCTTCTTGGCATGCGGAGCAAACCTTTAAAATTTGAATACAAACATGCACTCCAAATGCATGTTTTTTGTCAGACGAATAAACGGGCAATAGTCACTCCAAAACTTCACATTAATGGATTATCTGATGTGCTGTTGGCCGGAGTGCCCCTGCAAATAAAACAAGGTTAACTAATGATCGAAGCTAGTGGGAGTGACGAAATGCGGGGAGGATTCAGGAAGAAGCAGTTGAAGGGAGACGAGGAACATCGCGCACAACACGAAGGGCGGTGCACCGTGGCCTAGAGATGCCTCGAATCTCAAAAGCCAAAAGACCAAAACGCAAATTACACCTCTGGCGCTCATATTTCGCCTACCCGTTACGTAAACATAAACAGAAATTCAATGCACCGTTCTAAGCCTTCGAAACTGAGCACGAAAGGAGGGTTCATTTGGCTTCTCATTTCTGTCGTATCTAATCAGCACTAACATGAAATTCCACACTTATAAAGACCCAACTAACAAAACATTTTCTATCGTTTTTACGAATCTTCATCCATTACGTAAACTCTGCAAGAAATATATCAATATCTCAATGGAAAGTGTCCATCGCTAATTAGTGTAACAAGTCGTATAAAAGCAACATCCCATCCTGGTAGTGACAACAGAGATCGACCGTAGCCAATCTGACGGTGTACTACAAGTAAATCAAATTTGTAACCCGATTGTCAAGCCAGAAATGAGGCGAAAAGCCAAGGGTTCTATCCAATGCCTCTGATGTGTAGATTTCGGGCGTACTAGAAATAAGTGCAACCATAATACAGTATGCATTTATTGCGCATAAGAGCATTACTCTGTAAATTGCCCCCAAAACGAAAACCCTCCTATTTATAAGAGCTGTAATGGTTCGCACCGCGCAGATAAGAGATCTGTAGAATATTCGTACAACAAAAGCTCATAGAGATCCTCCCAAAAATGATGAGCAAGGATGGTCAAATACTAAACCACAAAATGATAATCAGTTAAATCTTAAACTCCCGAAACTACCCAAATTTACCTATCACTATCGTATGGAAATCGTCGCGTTGCTGTAGATTGGTTATGTTCGTATCGTAAACAACGATTTGAGAGAGTAGAAATACCTCACTGGAATAATGGAACATTACGTACACACCTTTCTGATTCTTTACCAATTGCATGTGGAGACCCGCAGGGATTTTAGGCCCTATACTATTCCTACTATACGTAAACGATATGTCGACAATAGAAACGGAAAAACTGTTGCTTATGAACGAATATTCTTTACAATGAAGAAACCGTAAATTCGAAGGTTGCCTTTTATGTTTCGGTATTTGGCAACACTGGTGTTGCAAACTGGCAACTGACAGCTCTATCGTAAAGTTGGATGTTTTGAGGTTATACGTACTCAGAACGTTTTGACATACGGGCGCTATTTGTGTTGTTTACAGTAACTTAAAAGATTCATCTTGGCCCAAAAATGGAATTAAATCGTGAACATTTTTGTGCTATTATTTTTTACAACTTTCGACGTGGATTAACTCAGCAACAGTGTATGGATGAACTTAGTTCAATTTTTGGCGATGAAGCTCCATCAAGAACCAGTGCTTACCGATGATATGGTGAATTCAATTGTGGTCGTAGTTCACTCCAAGCAGAATTTCGTCCAAGCGAAGGTCGTCCAAAATCAGTTGTTCCGAAAACCATTGATGCTGTACGTGAACTGATATTGCAAGATCGTCATGTGACCTATCATGAGATTGAAACAACCTCAGACATTAGTGGGACCAGCATACATTTAATATTGCATGAACATTTGACTGTCAAAAAAAATTGTTCTCGTTGGATCCCACACAATTTGTCAATCGCTCGAAAAAAAGGCTCGGCTCGATTGGTCAAAAGAAATGCTCAAAAAATACGATCGCGGTGCTTCGAAACACGTCTATGACATCGTGACAGGTGATGAATCGTGGATTTACGCGTATGAGCCCGAAAGTCAACTGTATGGGTGCAGCCGACTGTATGGGTGTTTCA